ATGCTCGAGCTGTGGAGACTCATGCATTCAGCCCTGGAAGTTCTTGGTTCGGTCTCTAGGTTACGCAGAATCTAGGCCCTGGAAGTTTGGGTGGGGACAAGGCAGAAAGGAGACCTTGCAGCAGCAGCAGACCTCTGTAGCCATCGATTTAGCAGTAACTGTGCTGCACTCATTTCCCATGGGGCGAAAATCCACCTTGGTCCCTAAACTTCTGAATTCTCTGGAGCTACTTAGGTGCTTCATGCTAACCATATGGCTGTGCTGAATGCAGGCCCAAAAGAGTGAAAGATCCATTCAAGAAAACAAAGAGCATTACTCCTCCTGTAGGTAATTTTATTGTCCCTGCCGGCTGTTCTCACAGGATTTACTCTAGCATTGTAAAACCAGATAATTCTGAGAGCAAAGCCCCGCTGAATCAGCATGGAGAAACTGTATAAACAAACAGGCGCTGCAGATCAGTAAGAACATCTGTAGTTTTTATATTGGTTTGAGAACACATCCCACATGATTTTTAATTTCTTATGCTTTTTAGGTTTTTAATATACTGCTAATAAAAGTTGGGAATGGAAGACACAGCTGGACTAGACCTGTCATGCCACCATTTAATTTCTGACTCAAGGGATGAGCAAAAGAGTCGTTTTATTGTATCCTAGAAGAGAATAAAGCCACATGCAAATTCCAGCGATGAACATCTGTTTCCTCTTTATGCAGAAGAATTCTAGCATTTAGAAGGGATTTCCAGTTTTGAGGGACCCGGTTTTATTTATGTATTTGTCTTGTCTTTGCTGCTCCTTCAACATGCTGCCCCTGCTGTCTGGCTGCTGAGATTCCCTCTGGGTGCCGTCAGCTTGAAGGGGCACTTTTTGTAACTGTAGCCTGATGCATTTTAAATTGCTTCAGTCAAAGCACATTTTTATTGCTAGGAACAGTATCCGTACTGCCTCAGTTTTCAGTATTGATGCATCTATCTGTCCGTCAGTGGTTTTATCTTCCTCCTTAAATACATCTCACTTGCTGAAAGCTTCGCTGCTCTTAGATAGGAATGTAATAGTGTAGCCGATTAACCAATAAGCAAAAGCTTAACGCGTTCCCCCCAACCCCCTCGCCAGTAAGTTTTTTAGCAGGCTGGCCAGCAACCTGGCTTGCGGCAGGTCCGGGGCCTACCCCCGTTGTGGCTCTGCGTTTAAAGTCTATTAGGAGCTGTGATGATGCATCGGGGAGCCCCCGACCCTGCCCCCTCAACTACAGCAAGATGTGGGTCTCCGACAGCCAGTAGAATAGAAGGTTTTATTGGTTCTCAGCGATACAGAGCAGAATAGGCTGGATGTTGACATAAGAGCCAGGGCAGAGCCTTAGTTCTCATAGGGGGAAGGGCTTCACTGGCCCCTGAACCCTCCCGTCCTGGACCTAGTCTTCTCTCCTCATGCTTCCCCCAGCCACGACTGACCAGCTCCCAGGCCCTACCCGCCCCCCAGCCAGGTGGCCATCTCTGCCTCCCTTCCTTTGTCTTTCCCTCTGGGAAGAGTCTTGTGAATTGCTCAGGCTGGAAGTAGGTGTCTGAGCCCATACACATGTGGGGTGAGTCACTGGGAATCATGCATAGCAGCACAGCCAGGTGGGAACGCTGGGTTACAAAGCAGACAGCACCCCCACTACGTCACAAGGAGCCGTGCAGGCAGGCAGCCTGTCTGTTCTAGCTCAGATCGGGTCCAGGAGCTCAGATCTTTCCCCCGGACAGAGGCTGCTTCCACCCTGCACTGCTGTCTTTGTATCAGAGGCAGCAACGCGGGGTGACAGGCAGCTGGTCCACAAGGGGAGCTGGTTTTTAAATTGTCTCCCTTCACGGAGCAGCTCCTTCCTGTCACCCCATACTGCTGCCTCTGACATAGAGGCAACAACAGCACGGAGTGGCCTCAGGAGTGAGGCCAAAGCACACTGGCTGCCAGCCTCACCCCCAGGATCTATACAATAGTCGAGTAACTGATAAGAATTCATGAGGTTAATCGACTGTTCAGTTAGCCGATATTTAACATCCTTAATCTTAAGTGAAACACGCAGTTTGATTTAAAAATTAGAGTTGAATTTTTCCATTGCTGTGGCTCAGGAGTGCAGCTGCTTTTGGTACTAGTTTTTTAATATCAATGGCTTTAAAAATATGAAATACTTTTAAAAAAAATCTGCCTATTTCAGGAAAAATTAAGCAGATCTTTGCAAACAATAAAATATGCAATATATTAGTAATTAGACATAAAAATATGGGGCCCCAAGTGACTGTCAGTTGTGCCCATCTATTAAACATAAGAATAATAATTTTACATATCTTGGAGCTGCTTTTTATTTGATATTTTTGGTGTAGGATTTAACTCTAGTGAATAAACTGTACAGTTACAGAACGTAAAGCCAGACATGGGAACGGATACTGTCTGTCTATTTTATATGAACATCAAATGAGAGATTTGGTGGAGCTAGCCAGAGTTTCATATTTGCTGGCAGAAAGTGCCGCACATGTGCGGACCAGATTTTCCTTGTTGATTTGGGTTATTTCAGGCGCAGATATCACTGCCTGGCTGGGTGTGAGACTGTTCTATTTCTGAAGGTTTTTTTGTAAGGAAAATGATGATAAATGCAATCAAATCACAATTCGGGAAGAAGTGTCTACAAAGTGAGGGTCTCACTTCAATTTCACCATAAAAAGCTTGTGAAAAGTGTAATTAATTTCTAACTGTATGGATTGCATGGTTAAAGAAAGTTCCCCTTTTATATGTTAGTCTACTCGGGTATGCTCACTGTCTCGTTAAAGAGATGTTGCCCTGTAGGTTTGCCCAGAATGCGGGGTTTGTTTTGGAAAGTTTCAGAATGTATAATGGTAATATATCTGTGGGAAAAATTGAAATGAAACAGGATTTATGAGGGCAGGGTGAAAGTTCAGGTCCCAATCAGCAAACTCCTTCTCACAGGTGGCTCTGTGGGTCTGTGCAAACCCCATTGACTTGCACAAAGCCGAGTCTGAGCCCTAAACCTTCTCCTGCCATTTTGGAAATCCATCTTATGAGGTGCATGAGGAAGTGAAAATGAGGATCAGCAGTCAAACCTGATCTGACCAGTCCAAACTGAGAAGGCTGGAGAAAGAAAATGGCCAACCAAAATAGTGAAAATCAAATAGAAATTTAAAATTTCTTTCTATTTGCTTGAAATGTATCTAATTAGTAGTAGAGATAAAATAAACATTATTTTGAGATTATCCCTTGTCTTCATGTGAAAAGATTATTTTTAACCACTCCAAGTGTAATAGGAATAAATTCGAGATTGTGTTAGGAGGCCTGAAATTTGAGATTGTGTTGGGAGGTCTCTCTCTCTCTCTCAACAAATTAGAGCAAATACAGTGACTGTCTCTTTTCTGGTATAGACGATAGAAGGATGTGTCACTTTTCATTCTGCAGTGCAAGGAAATGATGCAGTTAACTCCCATTTGACAATGGAGCCGCATGTGGCTCTGTGCTTCTCATAAATATATTAAAAGGCATTCC